TAGTGTGTGTGGTCTGGTTATCATATCTTCAGCCACGTTATTGTGACTCATCGTCTGCATAGATATAGATAAACAGTATGATCAATATCAAATGTGCATTGGTGAATTGTTGCTTAAATTCCTAAGCAAGCCACAGTGAGTATAAATCACTATGAGTGTGAGACAAAGAGAATTGTACACAGTGACGTAGATTTGCTTTCCCACGGCGACCTTGCGTTCGGGAAGGCTTGTCTGTCAAATAATTCTAACCCTGAGGAAATGTCTTTGGCCACGTTTCCAACCCGGAACCTCAATATAGAAGGCTAGTGATGTAATCGCTTGGTCAGCGCTCATGCTATTTTGAACTCAAGTGCATATCACATGTTAAATTGATTTAATTAATATTTTATGGGGGAAAAAGGAGTATATTGGGGAAAATATTTTGGAAAAATGATATGTATAGAGTTAAAATGTTGGAAAATGATTTGAATAAAGTTCTTACGTCTTCCTTGTTGCAGAAGCTTGTAGTAATTGCAGCTGCTTCCTTGCTGGTGTGTCAGTGTCAAGCTGAAGTGCCATACGGGTCTGGCGGCCTCATCGGCTCCGGAGCACTAGGTTCCCTTGGTGATGCTGGACTTGGTGGCTTTGGTGATCCACTTGGTGCTGGACTTGGAGGTGGCCTTAAAGGATCCTTCGGAGCTGGACTTGGAGGTGGGCTCAAAGGTTCCCTTGGTGCTGGACTTGGAGGCTCAGCTGGAGTACTGAAAGGAGGCCATGGCGTTGCGACAGGCTACAGCGTCTTCAACCTTGGTGCTCCCCTGGCGGGCTACGGTGGAGGCTCCGTACTGGGCCATGGTGGACCCCTTGGTCTGGGCGCCAGTGGCCACGGCGCTGGTGGCCATGGAAGAGGTCTGGGCGCCGGTGGCCTCCTTGGTGGCCATGGAAGTGGCCTTGGCGTCGGTGGTGCTCTTGGATTAGGACCTGCAAAGGATTTGGGAGGCTTTCCCGGAGATGTTGGAGGTTCTCTTGGTACCGTGGGTCCGGTGGGTGCTGTCAGCCCTGGAGGCCTGGGTATCATAGGTGGAGGGTATGGTCGCTAACATGTGCTCCACCACCCTTCACTGACAACATTACAGGCACCACAACTCCCACACATATGTTCATATTTTCAAATCGTCATATTTATTATAATATATAAATGTATATAGTTCTTATATATAAACAAATTATTATTTCAACGAATAAAATGTATTTAATAACAATATTATATTCTTCCATAATTGTTGTATAAATCCTCAGTTTCTATAAAGAGAATGCTTGTCTACTCGAGGGCAAATGCTGAGGTTCTCTTCAAACTTTGCAGTGTGACTGGTGATTGGTTGGGGTTGGTCATAGTAGGGTCGAGGGGGGGGGGGGTAGATTTTCATGGCCTCCCATTTCCATGAAATGGTAAATGATGCCAATTTCCAACCTTGCGAATTACCAGACCTTCCTCATTAAGATTTATTCGGCAAACTGCATTATTTGCTAATGTTTTTCTACTGTTTCTTATTGATAAAGACAGTGTATAATAAAGGTGGTTGTAATAAGAAATGAAGAGTAGTGTAAAACAGAGAAGCTGGTAGAGGATAGGGGAATGTAGTGAAGGATAGGGGGATGGTAGTGAGGGGTTGGGAAGGTAGTGAAGAATAGAGAAGGTAGGGAAGAGGTGGAAAGATTGTGAAGCGTTAAAGAGGTGTTGAAGGGACGGCGGTGGAGGATAGGGAATGTAGCGATAATGATGATACCATATAAGTTTGCTTTTTGGTGCCTAGTTAGTGAAGATCTTTACAATGATACAGGTGGTTGGTAGTTAGAATGATTGTCGTGAAAAATAAAACTCTCCAGCATGACTCGCCTCTCATGCTGCTGGTCACGTGTTCGAGGGCTCTAATATTACTCTTCACAGTATCATGGTTGACAATTTATAAGACTCGGTTGTGGATCACCTAATTATTCAGTGATTTATAAGACTCGGTTGTGGATCACCTAATTATTCAGTGCTCAAGCGGTAGCCCAGGGAAGGCTTAAAGTTCCAGTTTGGGCAGCAGTTTCGTGCCTCTGAAATTCTTCCCAATTGTGGCTAGCTCGTGGCTCAGTCGATAGATCACTAGTCTCTCATGCTGAGATCGCGTATTCGTGGCTCCTATTGCCCTGGCGAATAAAATATTACTATAAAGACATTACATATATATATATCTATATATATAGATATATATATATGTGAGTTTTCAGTTATATATATATATATATATATATATATATATATATATATATATATATATATATATATATATATATATGCAAACAAGCCTGAATGGTCCCCAGGACTATATACAACTGAAAACTCACACCCCAGAAGTGACTCGAACCAATACTGCCATGAGCAACGCAACTGGTATGTACAGGGACGCCTTAATCCGCTTGACCATCACGACCGGACATAAGGAAGTGATAGCCTAAGCTATTTGAACCACTTCCCTGCCGGAACTCGGATAGTAATCTTGGGCATAGCATTTTATCAAATCACCTCATTCTTTGGGGCAACACGTGATATATATATATATATGTCGTACCAAGTAGCCAGAACACACTTCTCTGCCTACTATGCAATGCCCGATATGCCTAATAGGCCGAGTGATTTTCTTTGTTTTCAATAAATTCTTTTCGATTAGTTTATTTGAATAATTATTATTATATTATATTTGGAACATAAATTATTGACTTAGTTGTGTTAGTTTTTTTTTACCGTCACAGACGTGACATCTATATAGTATGTATATAAAAACCTGCTCGGATGCGAATGGAACGTTGTGTGAAATTTTCAAAGCAATCGGTGAAGAACTTTTGGAGATTAGCGTTAATGCAGAAAAGAACATTTCCATTTTTATTTATATAGATGGATTAAATTTGATCAAAATAGACAGAGTGGTGATTAGAGACTTGCAGCATAAATAATATATGAACAAATAGCTATAACTACAACCCCACGAGTAACTACCCTCACAACCCTTACAACACCACGAATAACTACCATCATCTGGCATCAGGTACCTGCGTAAAAATGTCGTCAACGAACATACAGTATATTGTATGTTGACGATATTTTTGCGTAGGTTCCTAATGTCAGATGTCTGCAGCAGCTGAAGGAGGCATTTGAGCGGAATTCTGTGTTGAGTTTCACTTACGAGATGGAGAATAATGGGAAGCTGCCCTTTCTGGATGTAACAGTCATGGATAGGAATGGAGGCTTCCACACTGCAGTCTACACTAAGGAAACAAACATAGGAATGTGCCTCAATGCTAATAGTGACTGCCCAGACAGGTACAAGAGGAGTGTTGTCAATGCTTACGTCGACCATGCTCTCAGCCACAGCTCACAGGATGGAAGCATGTCGATGAAGAACTCTGTAGGGTAAGGCAGGCCCTAGTCAACATAAGATATATAAAGAGAGGTGAAACGCCATGCAACCTCTGAAGAGTCAACCAACACAACACTTGTACCCCCTATGAGACTATTTTACAGGAACTTCTTTTCGATGGCTCATAAAACAGAGGAAAGGGTCCTGAAAGATATTGTTGATAGGAACGTTATCCCTATAGACAAAAATTTGAAAATGCAATTGACAATTTACTATAAAACCAAAAAAACGGCCAATCTACTCATGAAAAACTCTCCAGACACCAAGCAGAACGCTTTGACGGAAACCAACGTCGTCTGTGCCTTTAAATGCCCACTTGGGGACTGTAAGCCCCAAAGAACTCAGTATATAGGCAAGACAACAACGTATCTTTCCAGGCGATTAACAATGCATAAACAACAGGGCTCCATCAAGGAACACATAATATCTTCTCAAAACCAGACCATCACCAGAGAAATCTTAACAGACAACACAGAAATCATCAATAGGTAGAGCGATAGTAGGTGGCTCGACATCAGCGAGGCACTACACATCAAAAAGTCAACACCAGCAATCAACAGCCAATTAATGCACAACTATATTCTACCCACTTCAAAACCCCAAACCAATATGGAAGCAACAACAGGAAGTATGGGCCAATAGGCTTTCTGCAGTTACTTCTATTCTTATGTTCTCACATTCAAGTTATACCCATTGTTTCGTGTTCTGTCTTGTGTTTGTCACAAGTTTGTTCACATCACCCAAAACGTTTGTACCATATCACCTCACCCAATAGAGTATAAGTGCGATGAATTTGTGAGTAAATTATGTCTTTGAAAACGTAATAAGCCATTACGAAACGCGTTCAGGCGTGAGACCATAAATAAAAATGAATTTTGGAGAATTGATATTTCCATTACCACCTACAGTGAAGAAAAACATGAGAAATCTTGAGAAGATTCGTGTTAGAATTATTAATCTTACCTTTTCGGTCATATTCAACAACATTAATTCACCTATTTCCTCTCTCCTTCCATATTCTTACTTCCTGCCATCTCCCTTCTCTTTATATTTTATTTTACTGTATTTGATATTTTAAAGGTTAAAAGTTACACGTTGATGAATACTCAATAAATGTATATTAAATAAAGACTCACCCGGTCACATGCAGACAGGAATATCGCCCAGAATACCTAAAGTTTAAGCATATAGTAAATAACTTTCTCTTAAGCCACCAACAACTATGTTAAAAACAGTTGACGAGAAACTTCCTTGTGAGCTTCAGCGATTTTCGCTATGGACCATAATTTTCTATGTCATGAAATAACTTAACATTAATATGTTTAAATAACTAATAACATTTTTACATTAATATATATAGCTGGTGTTTTGTAGCTCAAGACTCAGCTAAAAGAACCACCGCAATATCCGGTTTATTTCGCCAGACAAAAGCTGCTTCAGTTGTAATTAAAGTCTCTCAAGGACGGGAGGGCAATGGTCGCCACCTCTGGACTGAGGTCCTGTCAAGACTTATGAAACAAAGTCATACAGCCCCCAAAATAGCGAGCCATTTGTGGTATATAAGATGAGACACAGTGGCTCATTGGATAGTGTACCTCACAACATCACAATGGTAAGAACGGTGATGTTTACTGCAGCTTCGAGCCTTTATAACGACATGTGCACGTATTGGGTAGTGAGGGATGAATCTGTTAATAGACTTTCACACTCAGAATTAGATGCAAAGTGCGCAATTTGCAGTGCCGACGAAAAACGCCTTCATGAAGTTACTGAAACAGAATTGCACTATTATGCAACTAACGGGTCCAGCAGAGTGTGTGGGCATACTTAATATGTGCTATGTAGTGTGTAAGACAGAAAATGCGATGGAAAATATAAACTGGAATATGATTTTTCACACATATTTTTCTAGAATAATATAATATTAAATCTAGAATAATATACTTACTGTAAAGCTAATTAAACAATTCAATAATATATACATATATATATTAATATATTTTGCAAATACAATTATAATAGAAAAATATAAATATTGTGATAACACCTCAAAAATAGAATGTGATTTTAACACATCCATAGGTAGACCATTATATACTAATACAATATTTATTTACCAAGCGTTTATAACGAGTAATGCCTTGATAATGATGCTAAATAAAATATTTCTAAGCTTATGTTATTCTTACAAGATTACAGTAATGAACAATGATATACGAGTCTCAATTTAAGACTATTAAAATAGTGAACAGTAGTTGGAAAAGTCTACACATGTAGTTCTGGTGAAGCATGTATTGCGTTAATATATACATCCGTCAGTTATTGTAAGAAGCTATTTATCAATAAAATAGAAAGAACTAAGACCAGTCCAGCTTCTCGACTGATGACCTGGCTTAACCGTTAGGGTGCGGTTAACGTCAACTGACGTTTTTCGCCATTTGAAATAATAAGAATTCAGATTTACTAAAAAATCACTATTTTTACCAACGTTAATTTTACTGCTATTATTACATCAGTATGTATCACGTGTGTATGTATCACGTAGGAATCATGTCAGAATATATCACATGTTAGAATATATCCCATGACAGTATATATCATTTGTCAGTATATATCATGTGTCAGACTATATCACGTGTCAGTATTTATCTCTTATCAGTATATATAATGTCAATATGTATCATCTGTCAATAGGTAACACAAATCAGTATTGCACATGTCAGTATGTATCATCTGTCGGTATTACATACCATTGTGTATCATGTGTCAGTATGTATCACATGTCAGTATATAGCACTTGTCCCTATGTATGATGTGTCAGCAGTTAATACTACCAGTCTTTTGATGTCTATCACATGCTTGGGACATGTGGCTAAATATGTGCCTCGAATCAAGTTGGGATGGTGTATACGGAGGTTGTGTTGAGGCAAGGGACTTCGTGTTGATGAAGTCATGATGACTTTTTTGCCTATTGCCTGCAAAGCACGATGAATAGACCTATTTTGACAATTTTACAAACATCAGTGCATATGATTTTACAATATGGCAAGAACAAATTATTACTCAAAACTGTTTATTTGTTTAGAATGTTCTAAGGTCACTATAAAGTCCAAGGGGTTACCAATGGCCCTTAGTGCTCCAATAGTGATTAGTGCTCACCCGAACCAACCCATTTTGGGCACGTATCTAACAGAAATCAAGGTGGATAGTTGGGTGATGTTAGCCCTAAGCATCTGACCTCGAACAGACAGAGATATGTTTGCTTATAGATATACTAGGGGTGTATGGGGGTAGGGTGGGGGTGGGGGGGTGGTAACCGGCCGTTGCCTAGGTCTTTTATTATTTCTTTTAAAGTAAAATCACAGAAAGTAACGTAACTACGTTACTTTTAAATACCATTTCCCCTGTCCTCCCTTACCATGTCCTCTCTACCCTCCCCCCTTGTCCACTCAACTCTTCCTTCCTCCTTTCCTAACCTTTCCTAACCTCCTTTCCTCTTCTCTCCCTCCCATTCCCTTGCCTCTCTCACCCTCCCACCCTGAGAGCTTAGGGTGGGGGTGTGACAAATAATATTTCATAAAATCTTTTACGTTGGCTTACCTTAACCAGCCTATGTCCGTTCCGTACCCCAGACCATCTCCTCAGCAAAGTTAGGTCATGTTAGTCCCAAGCGTGTGGCCTTCAGATTCGAACAGAAGACACAGACATAAAAATATTTATGCTGTATTGACTACAGGGCGTACCCGGCGTTGCTCGGGTGCGTCTGTTTCTCATTTGTCCGTCTATCTATACAACCATCTATTTATTTATCTATCCATCCATTTATCTATCAACTCATCTATCTCTTCATCTACCCCTCTATTTCTCCATCCATCCGTCAATCCAATTATCTATTCATCCATCTGACAATCTTTTAATCCATCTGTCCATCTATTTATACATCTATCTATCTACATATTCGTCTATCAACCCATCTACCATCTATTCACCCATATACGTACATTTATCTATCCATCTGTCTATTCTTCTGTTCATCTATCTATCCATCTATCCATCCACCTGTGCATCTTTCTATTCGTCTATCCACCCACGTGCTATTTTTTCTATAAATCAATTTGGTTATCCATCTATCTATTCATAAATCCATCTATCAGTCTATCTATCCGCCTACTTATCCAACCCGTTCTCGCACTTGCTTACAGTCAATATTGGCTTATTTAATAAGTGCATATGTGACATACTAATTGATTGTGTATATTTTAGTTTACTTTGAAAAGCTTCATAGAAAACACCGACCTCACCTAACCTTCTTAGTATGTTAAGATAAGCATCTTATTCCTTCTTAATTACAATTATCACTTAACCTATACCGTTGATCAATTCATCTATCTACTGTCTGTCTCTGTTTTTATCTCTTTCCCCTCTTATAACGAAAAATATAATTGTCTAATGTGTGGGAGGTTGCCTGTGAGAGGTGGTAAGTGGTGTGATATAGTAGTAGTAGTAGTAGTAGTAGTAGTAGTAGTAGTAGTAGACATCAATCAGTCTCAGGAGACTATGGAGTTGCGCTCTGGTTGTCGGTCTGGAGTGGCCTCTCCATAACAAAAAACTCCCCATAACAATAAAATAATATTTACCCCTTACTCTGTTAAAGGTTCGAGCCTTTGAGGATGTGGAAGAATCCGCTGTTTTATGCCAGTACGGGCAAATTATTAAAAGCATATTATTTTCGATATTTTTTCCGAGGATCAGTGCATAATGGTGCATATTTCTATAAGAAAATGAAATTATTTTGAAAAGTTTGATTGGTAAATATTTAGATGTGTAGCTGAGGGTAGTTCCAAAAATTGTCGTGGTTGTTGACCAGACCACACACTAGAAATTGAAGGGACGACGACGTTTCGGTCCGTCCTGGACCATTCTCAAGTCAAGGCAATCGACTTGAGAATGGTCCAGGACGGACCGAAACGTCGTCGTCCCTTCAATTTCTAGTGTGTGGTCTGGTCAACATACTTCAGCCACGTTATTGTGACTCATCGCCTGCAATTGTCGTGGTTGTCTGAATGTGGTTCCGGCACGCTGTTCCCTTTTTAATTCTGGCGACCCCGACTAGCCTATGTTCCTCCTGAACCCCAGACCCTTCCCTCTGCAAATTTGTTTGAGGGAATGGCCTTTAATTTTCGAACAAATTGACAGATATTCTCTCCTATAGCTAGCTATACACACCCACTCTGGGAACACTGTTTTTGTGAAAATAAATATTTTGGATATAAATAATTAGCGCTGAATGCTCTTGATTCTCTCTTTTCAGAATCTCATAACCATTGTCGCTGGCACTCTTCTAATCTCCCAGTGCCATGCTGAGCTGGGCTACGATTATAGTGGCCCCGTCAGTGCTGGACTTGGAGGAGGTCATCTCGGCGGCGGACTTGGAGGCGGTCATCTCGGCGTAGGAGGACTTGGAGGCGGTCATCTCGGTGGAGGACTTGGAGGTGGTCTCAAAGGCTCCCTTGGTGCTGGACTTGGAGGCGGTCATTTCGGCGGTGGACTTGGAGGCGGTCATCTAGGCGTAGGAGGACTTGGAGGAGGTCTCAAAGGCTCCCTTGGTGCTGGACTTGGAGGCGGTCATCTCGGCGGTGGACTTGGAGGCGGTCATCTCGGCGGTGGATTTGGAGGCGGTCATCTCGGCGGTGGACTTGGAGGCGGTTATGTCGGCGGTGGACTTGGTGGCGGTCATCTCGGCGGCGGACTTGGAGGCGGTCATCTCGGAGTAGGAGGACTTGGAGGAGGACTCAAAGGCTCCCTTGGTGCTGGACTTGGAGGCGGTCATCTCGGAGTAGGAGGACTTGGAGGTGGTCTCAAAGGCTCTCTTGGTACTGGACTTGGAGGCGGTCATTTCGGAGTAGGAGGACTTGGAGGTGGTCTCAAAGGCTCCCTTGGTGCTGGACTTGGAGGCGGTCATCTCGGTGGAGGACTTGGAGGCGGTCATCTCGGTGGAGGACTTGGAGGTGGCCTCAAAGGTTCCCTTGGTGCTGGACTGGGAGGTGGTCATTTCGGAGGACTTGGAAGTGGTCTTAAAGGTTCCATTGGAGGTGGTCATCTTGTTGGAGGACTTGGAGGCGGTCATCTCGGTGGAGGACTTGGAGGTAGCCTCAAAGGCTCCGTTGGAGGTGGTCATCTTGGAGGTGGGCTCAAAGGTTCCCTTGGTGCTGGACTTGGAGGCTCAGCTGGAGTACTGAAAGGAGGCCATGGCGTTGCGACAGGCTACAGCGTCTTCAACCTTGGTGCTCCCCTGGCGGGCTACGGTGGAGGCTCCGTACTGGGCCATGGTGGACCCCTTGGTGGCCATGGAAGTGGCCTTGGAGTCGGCGGTGCTCTTGGAGGCTACGGTGTTGGCGGTGCTCTCGGAGGCTACGGTGTTGGCGGTTCTCTAGGTTCATTAAGTTATCTTGACGGCAAGGGCACCTATGGTGTTGCTACTGGCGGATACGGGCGGTAAAATATATCAGGATTCCTGCCGTTATCCTAACCGAATGTTAGTGGTATAAAATCAGATCAAATGTGTGCACATGTGTTCTAATCTATACCAGGAGGAGTGAGACGAACTAGTGTGTAATCTGGCCCTAGGGAGAAGTCTCTTCCCCTGATATAAAACCGACAATGATTGATTTCTCTGATATCTGACTGACTTAGGTACTGTAAAGCTTGTATGTTCGTTTCAGATTTGTTTGACAGGTTGAGAATATTTTTATTTATGTTCTTAATGTTATTTTTAATATCAGCAAATAAAAAATTGTATATAAACAGGTTGTTTACCTCTAAATTTAATATTTTATTGATTTTGCACAGAATTTGGATTCCTTGTTTGATTTGGAAATTTATTAACTATTCTCTAGTATGGTTTTATGAGGAATTATATTATTATTGCCCGTCTCGTATAATGTATAATGTTGTTTAATTGTATTTTACAACCTAATTTACTGGTTTTGTGAAAGTTGAAAATTTCTAACACCTAACGTTCATTGTGAATTTTTTTTAGATTTTCTGATTATGATGATACAGATTGAAAACACTTCCGTTGTATGTAATGTGCAAAACGAGATATCTGGTAATGCTATAGACAGTATAGAGAAGCGGTCAGTGCACGTACACTTCAATGAAAGAGTGAGAAAGTGACAGATATTAACTAGAAATTAGAATAGTGGCGGAGAAGTCAGACGATGAAGTCATAACATGTAAAGCCAAGGACCAATCTGAATTATGCTATTGCCCCATAGTGACAGCACACAGATAATAATAAGTGTGCAAAATAATTAAAACAAGCTTTTAGGAAGGATTTTAAGATGGCATCAGACACAAATCCTGACACTCTAGTGGCAGGATTTTATCTGCCACTTGAGTTACGGGTTAACCAATGAGTCATTAGATAAGGTAAGACTTAATGAACTAAAAGCGACCCCCTTAGGAAGTAAATAAACCACTAGATAAACTTGATGTGATAAAAGCAGTAACCCTGACAAGATATTCTTTGTTTCTAATAAATCAGGCCATTTAAAAGCCCTTTGCTTCTAAAAGGAAAATATTAATTTTATCATTGAACAAAAGAAGAGATTCTAGAATTTTCGAAATTTGTTTATGTGGTGGTAATGTACAAGAAATGAGAAAACGGGAACAGCTGTTACATGTCAATCTCTACGACATGATAGGGCAAATTGGATTCTTCACATCGATGCGTTCTGAAAATGGGAAACTAATGAGATGAATCAGAACAGAGGGAGATGATGATTACCTACAATCGGATCTTGACACACCCCAGACATTGTCTGATAAATGGCTACTAGACTTTAACCCAGCCCTTAAAACCATTAAATGTGTTTAAATGGTTGAATGTTTTCACCCTTAAATTAAAGACGTTTAAGGGATGACAGATTCATGCTCCAGCCAAGAAGAAAGATCTGTGATTTAACAACCCCTAAACCTCTGGCTTACATTAGCAAATCATCATTAGCTGAGGATGCTAAATGCTTTTTAACGTCCTTGTATCGTTCAGGAAATGAAACAATTGAGCCTGCCTGTTCCTATAACCAATTTGAGAAAAGGAGTTGAGTATGCAACCCTTCTCTGGAACACTCATCTGAAAAATGTCAAGACAAAACTAGATAACGACATATATATAGCAAGACATAGTAACATCAGATTATATAGATAATTCACAAAGTTGATAAAGGATCAATGTTCAAAACATGGAACAACGTAACGGGATAATAAAGACAAATTAGAGATACAAATGAACCATAGAAATGTTTAAAAAATCAATGTAAGCATTGTAAATATTTGCAACGGATGAAGTTGGTAATGCTAACTCTAGATTCAATTTTACATATAAATACCATAATATAATTGTGGCAACCGAGCCGTTGCATTACACTAAGAATACTCAGGAGGCGGGGGGCCAGGAGCTGAGTCCGTCACAGTGTACATCTAAGTGAGAACACCTAGGTGAGTATACACTGCACACACACATACACACACACACACACACACACACACACACACACACACACACACACACACACACACACACACACACACACACACACACACACACACGTTCAACCGCACACACATCAGTTCTCACAAACTCGTCCAAAAAAGGTAAATAAACCTATTAATTAACAATTACTCAAGAGGTCTAAATACTTATTTCCACAAATTCATTCTTAATAAGCTAGTCAATCGTGACGTATGTTTAAACTTACAGACAAAATACCACAATGTTTTTCATAGCGCATTACGTAATCAACTTGCAATGTCGTGGAAAGAACAATTTTGACAGCAGTAAAAGTGATATAAAAGAACTTGCAAAAAGCTCGTGGAAAAAAATGCCAGAAGCATAACATACTATAATTTGGTAATACAGCAATACTTGAAATTATGTCTGTGAACTGTCATACCAGCAGGTCGAGGCTGAAGGGGGGAGGGTGAATGGGGGTGAAGGGAGGGTAGAGAGGGGTAGGGAGAGTGGATGGGGTGAGGGAGGTGTAGGGAGAGTGAATAGGGTGTTAAGGTGAACGTTTGTGAGAAGGACAGGAGGAGTTTTCTGGTCAGCGTTGGCGAGGGAGTGCATGAAGATTCGGGGTGAATGCTGGTGAGAGGTGGAGAGTGAAGGGAAGGGGAGAGGGATGGAATGTGTGAGAGGTTGAGTGCAGTGAGAGGTGGAGTGAGAGTTAATGGAAGAGTGGTGAAAAGTGAGAGTAGGGGTGGATTGACCGAGGGGGGGGGGAGTTGAGTGAAAGTGAGAGAGTGTAAGAGTGAGTGACGGGAGAGGTAGAGGTGAGTGTAACACTGGAGGAAAGATTGTTAACAATAGTGGCTACAACACTTACAGTAAATAAAACCATACAAATCCATAAATGCAATTTTTATTTGTTTCAAAACAGTAAGAAAATAATTTTACAATAGAGGCAATTGCTACTTATAATATAAAAAAACAATATGGAACATTGACGCACATTACATATACATTAATACGAAAATTTACATTATGAATAACAATTAATCATCTTCAATACACGTAGCCTCCAAATGAGCTCCTGGAGGAACTACCAGACCCGAAGTCGAGAGAGTCACCGGATCCAACGCTACTGAAGGAATCATCGGATCCGTAAGTGCCTTCGGAACCAGCGAAATCGTCGCTGGAGGAAGCGACTAATCCGAGATTTCCGCGAGATCCACCGAACCCGCCACTGCTGGAGGAGCCGGAGGAGTCGTAGCCACCGCTGGATGCGCCGATGTCGCTACCGAAGGAAGCACCAGAGCCATGACCTCCTATTGAAGTCGTGTCAGCACCGCCGAAAGATCCCCCGTCGCTAGTTATGCCTCCACTGCTGAAGGAGTCGACGGAGCTATAAACACCGGTAGAGCCGCCACGAGACCGTCCCCCAAGGGGGCTTCCCTTGGAGCCCTGAAAACCTTGAGTTAGTCCTGCACTGAGAGGAGCACCCAGGCGGAAGTAAGCATACGAGGTTGCAGTACCCTTACCGCTGTCTGTCCTTGCTGCTGAGTACCTGCCCTGGAGCCCTCCACTAGGTCCAAAACTACTCCCAGAACCACCACTAACATGGCCACCACTAACATGGCCGCCACTAGCATGGCCAGCACTAACATGGCCACTACTAGCACGGCCAGCACTAACAGGGCCACCACTAACATGGCCACCACCACTAACATGGCCAGCACTATCAGGGCCAGCACTAACATGGCCAGCATTAACATGGCCACCACCACTAACATGGCCAGCACTAACATGGCCACCACCACTAACATGGCCACCACTAACATGGCCACCACTAACATGGCCACCACTAACATGGCCACCACCACTAACATGGCCACCACTAACATGGCTACCACTAACATGGCCACCACTAATATGTCCACCACTACTAACATGGCCTTCCTGCCCGTGGTGGCCACCACCACTACTGATAAATCCATCCTGTCCACCACTGCCTACAAAACCACTTTGACTACCCCCGTAGGAGTCACCACCAAGATGCCTCCCACCGCCTCCAATGAAGCCACCTAGAGAGCCACTCCCAGCACCGCCATAGGAGTCATCCCCATGTAGTCCACCTCCACCACCTCCACTGGTAAATCCCCCCTGTCCTCCTCCGGCGATTAAGTGGCTCTGAGCACCCACGAAGGAGTCACCACCAAGGTGGCTGCCACCGCCCCCACTGAAGTCTCGCTGATCGTCGCCGTAAGATCCGCCCACAGGAGCGCTGAGGTCTCCGCCGGCCTGAATACCGCCGCTGGAGGCTTCACTGCTGTACTCAGCTCGGCTCTGCCACACCAGCAGCAGCACGCTCAGCGCTCTCAAGGGCTTCTGGGGAAAATATATATAAATTTAACTCGGCCAATAGTTACACATTCATCCAACATCGCCATAGCTTATATTCTATCATGATTAAGAGCATTTGAGCATCACTCACTCACTCACTCACATACACACACACACACACACACACACACACACACACACACACACACACACACACACACACACACACACACACACACACACACACACAGGAGAGCTTGAGTGGAAAGCGCGCGGGACTCGTAATCCTGTGGCCCGGGTTCGATTCCCGGCGCCGGTGAGGAACAATGGGCAGAGCTTCTTTCACCCTGATTTTTGTGTTTCGGAGAGGCTGCAGGGTCTAAGTAAGGGCAGAAGAACTTCTGGTTGCAATTCTTTTGCCATGTCGTAGCGCAGTCGATTAAGGCAGCTCTCGGACATAGGTTCGAACCCTCGTCACGGTCCTTGTGGATTTGTTCTGTACATTAGTTGATTGAAAGTTGAGAGGCGGGACCAAAGACCCAGAGCTCAACCCACGCAAGCACAACTAGTTGAATACAACTAGGTGAATACACACATTATGAGAAAAATCAAGACAGATGAAGATAGACAGAGACTACAGGATGACCTGGACAAACTGGATGAATGGTCTAGAAAATGGCTGCTAAAGTTCAACTCAGGAAAGTGTAAGGTAATGAAATTAGGCGAAGGGAGCAGGAGGCTGAACACAAGGTACCATCTGGGAGGTGAAATCCTGCAAGAGTCAAATAGAGAGAAAGATCTGGGGGTTTATATCACACCGAACTTGTCACCAGAACTTGTCACATCAAAAGAATATCATCAGCGGCATATACTGGACTAGCCAACATAAGAACTGCCTTTAGAAACTTGTGTAAGGAATCGTTCAGGACCCTGTATACCACTTATGTCAGATCAATCTTGGAATATGCAGCTCCAGCCTGGAGTTCATACCTAGTTAAACACAAGACAAAGTTAGAGAAGATTCAGCAGTATGCAACTAGGCTCGTCCAGGAACTGAGAGGTATGGGCTACGAGGAAAGGCTAAAGGAGCTGAACCTCACGTCCCTGGAAAACAGAAGAGTAAGGGGAGACATGATAACCACCTACAAAATTCTCAGGGGAATTGACAGGGTGGACAAAGACAAACTCTTCAACACGGGAGGGACACGAACAAGGGAACATTGGTAGAAACTTAGTACCCAGATGAGCCACAGAGACGTTAGAAAGAATTTTTTCAGTGTCAGAGTAGTTAACAGGTGGAATACATTAGGCAGTGATGTGGTGGAGGCTGACTCCATACACAGTTTCAAGTGTAGATATGATAGAGCCCAGTAGGCTCAGGAACCTGTACACCAGTTGACTGACAGTTGAGAGGCGGGACCAAAGAGTCAGAGCTCAACCCCCGCAAGCACAACTAGACAAGTACAGCTAGGTGAGCACACACACACACTCAGCCGAAGCACAAAATAAGGGCAGAGTTTCTTTCAACTGACGCAACTGTTCACCACGCAGTACATAGGTACCTAAGAGTTAGACTGCTCCTAACATATTTACCATATATTTCACTCTACCAAAAAGAAAGAAATATGGGGTTAATATGCTAGAAGAAAAATATGTTAGAGGATAAACGTCGGTTAGAAAGGCGGGGTCCAAAAGATCACAGCTTGAACCTGCATAAACACATAGTAAAAAACACACATTGCATTAGGGAGTACCTAAGCAACAGGAAGCAGAGAGTCACTGACGGGTGAGTCCTCAAAATGGCGAGAAATCCCAAGTGGAGTCCCACAGGGTTCTATACTTCGATCTATCATGCTTCTGCAAACGTAAATGATCTTTCAGAGGGTAAAGACTCATTTCTTTCTATATTTTCTGACAATGGTAAAATTATGAGTAGGAATAAGACAGAAGAGGACAGCCAGAACAATATGACCTGAACAAACTGAATGGTCCAACAAATGGCTTCTAAAGTTTAACTGAAGCAAGTGTAAAGTCGTTAAAATAAGCGTAGGGAGCAGTAGGCCGAGCACAGGGGACCATTTGGGAGATGAAATCCTTCGGGAATCAAGAAGAGAGAAAGATGTGGAGGTTGATATCACACCCGACCTGTTCGCTGAAGCCCACATCAAAAGAATATCACCAGCGTCAAAGGCGAGGTTGACGATCATTTGAACTGCCATTAGAAACTTGAATGACTTATGTCAGTATACCACTTATGAAGGAGACCAATCCTGGAGTATGCAGCTATAGCCTGCAGTCCATATTTAGTCAAACACAAGTCGAAGTTAGAAAAAGGTTCAGGGGTATGCCACCTGATTATCCACGAGCTGAGAGGTATGAGCTCAGAGGAAAGACTACAGGAATTAAACCTCTCGTCACTAGAGGACAGAAGAGTTAGAAGATCCATGATTACCACCTACAAAATTATCAAAGGAATTGGCGGTAGATAAAGGAAAACTATTTATCACGGCTGGTACACGAACAAGGGAACACAGGTTGAAACTTAGTTCCAAAATGAGCCACTGACACATTAGAAACTTTGATTTTTACTGTCATAGTTAACAAATAGAATGCACTAAGCAGTGATGTGGTGGAGGAAGACTTCATAAAAAAATTTAAATGTTGATATGATAAAGCCCAATAGGCACCTGTGCTCCAATTTACTGATGGTTGAGAGGCAGGATCAAAGAGCCGAAGCCCAATCCCCACAAGGATAACTCTGGGAGTATACACACACACTGGTTGATACCTGGTTGACGGGGTTCTGGGAGTTCTTCTACTCCCCAAGCCCGGTCCGAGGCCAGGCTCGACTTGTGAGAGTTTGGTCCACTAGGATGTTGCTTGGAGCGGTCCGCAGGCCCACATACCCATCACAGCCCTGGAGCGGCCCGCAGGCCCACATACCCATCACAACCCTGGAGCGGTCCGCAGGCCCACATACCCATCACAGCCCTGGAGCAGCCCGCAGGCCAACATACCCACCACAGCCCGGCTGGTCCGGCACTCCTTGGAGGAATAAATCTAGTTTCCTCTTGAAAACTCACACAAGAAACAGAGCCAGACTCCCAGCACCAGGACCTGAGCAAGGCCATGAACCAAACAATTCCGTCGTCAGTTCTCAAGACAGAAATTAAACTATAATTATGCAAATTATTAAACTGTTAATAATATTAGTAAAAATGTTAATTCAGTTTAAAAAAAAGGTATGTGTTAAATTTGTCCACATGAAAATTCTGAACAATTTCTCAATATTATAATTTGTTTTAAAACAGAGAAACACGGGAAATCAAAGATCCAAAATATCATATCAACGCTGTTCTTTCATGATATCAATTTAACTCAAGGATTGAAAGATAGCCGAGAGGTGAAAAGAGGGTGAGAGAGATTAACGGACGGGTGAGGGAGATTAACGGTGAGGGAGATTAACTTAGGTGTGAGACAGATGAACAGAAGGTAGGGACAGAGATGGACGAAGATAAATAGAGACAGAGAAAAATAAGGGAAGAAAATCAATATAAAAAAGAGAAAAAAAAACAGAGAAAAAGAGTCAAACAAGATACAAGACAACCAAAGTCTCCCTGTCACAGACTTCTCCGTCAAAAGTATAGTCGGTGGCTGCAACTTCGTACTGCAGAGTGAATATTCAAAACAATATTTTTCTTTGTCGACACTCTCGGCTTGAACCGAACTGATGCGTCGCCGCTATGGCGTAGTGACCAGTTACTCTGAGTTACGTCACACAGACGGAACACAGACACTGTGACACAGAAGGAACTCAAGCTTTGCGACACAGAATGAGCGTCAACAGTGCCATTACTCCAAGAATATGAAAGAAATATTGATACTTTTTCACTTTATAGAGAGGAATGCATTGGCGATTATAGAGCTTATTATTAATAATATCAATCCATGACTCAAATCTCTATATATGTATTGAGGAAATGTTCATTTGAGTTTCTATGGTGAGAGACCTAGCCAATCAATGTAGTATTTGATCTAATTAAATCCTATTATCTTTTACTATTAACAGCAATATATATCAACGGTCAGAAGGAAGAGGACAATTAGTATCCACAAGGTGTGGGAGGCAGGAGGTCCCTACCATGTTGACTGGGTGATATCAACAGGACGAGTGGCCATCCTCGATAGGATTCCTTGTCTTATATACTCCCTGAACCCTTAGAACCCCCCACCCCCATTCTTTCCTTTCCTGCAGTGGTTTACTGGACAAGTTCACGTCCAACGGTGACGTCCAACGGTGACGTCCACACAATCCAGGCATTGCTGAACTGATCACTATCCCCCAGGCAGCTGCTGAAGGTGATGACGACTCGGCAATCAGTATGAGAATTCAACAAATTTATTTAGGGAATATTTCTAAATTGCAATTTCTGTCCATTTCTTCCTATCGGCTGATATTTTCTTTTTCTGTTCTTCTTGATATGATTTTCCCAGATCTCGATGGATTTTTCATGAAGATTTAAATATTTTTTAAAGTATTTATGGTTTTAATTTTGAGCTATGATGATTGGTTCTCTAAATTATGGATTCGTTAGAGAAACCATAAATTTCGTGTTTGGTACTCGTTTGTGGTACCCGTCTGTGGTACCCGTCTGTGATGATCATCTGGCGTATCTCGCCAGGTCAACATGTTGTAGACTTCTGTCAATCGATGAAGTGACAGACAGCACTTTAGCCTGTCAATCGTAGTATCAAAAATTAAAACACCATTCATTTTGAAAACGTTTATTTCATACCAATGTGAATTTCAGTTACGTGCACATATATATGCAGGTAAATATATGTGCACATATATATGCAGGTAAATATATGTGCACATATATATGCAGGTAAACATATATGTAGCCTATATAGGTCTAGATACAAAAGGCAACATTCGTGACATATATGTTATCTCTAAGGTTCACAGGTTCTCGTTTTTCCCAAACCAGGGTAGGAAACAATTTTCCTTACTCCTGCCTCTTTCCCGACTCCTGCCTCCTTACTACTCCTGCCTCATCCCCTACTCCTGCCTCCTTCCCTACTCCTACCTCTTTCTCTACTCCTTCCTCCTTCCCTACTCCCGCCTCCTCCCCTACTCCTGCCTTATCCTGGAGAAGTTAATCAGGATTAGAGTAACGCATCACCTGGGGAGTCTAAACATATAAACAACGGAGCAGCATGGATTTAGAGGGAAAGGTCATACCTAACAAACTTAGTCGAGTTGTATTATACTGTTAACATAACACAGCAGGAAAATTAAAACTGGGTAGACTATATCTTTCTAGATTATCATCCATATGATACTGTTCCCCTCATGTAATTCTTGTACACGAAATGGAGACGCAGTCTGGGATTACCAGGAAGACCATAAAATGGTCAAAGGAGCATCTGAAGAACAGAAAACAGAGAGATCACTGTCCAAGAGGATGTGTCGACTTGGTGGGATGAGATAAGTGGGATCCTCCAAGTCTCGGTCTTGGGACCATTACTGTTCATAGAGTTAATTTATGAATATTTCCCCTCACTCTCGAGGGAGTGAGCTCGTACATGTCAATGTTTCCCTTGTGACGTAGAGTCAGAATTCAATCCTGGCAAGTGCAAGGTAATGAAGATGGGAAAGGGAGGAAAGAGACCCGAAGATATTGACTCTAAAAGGAAGAGGCAATCACAGGCATGCGAAAGAAAATGATTTAAGAGTTGATATAAATAAAAAATTGACTCGAAGGACACATACACACAATAACATCGGCAGTATTAGGAAGGCTGCCAAATATTAGAGCGGCATTTAAAACCCAAATTAGGACAAGTTCATTTAATTCAACTCAGCCTTTGTTAGAAGGATTCCGCAGTATGAAGCACCAGCCTGGAATCATCAACTTGTGACGCACAAAACAAAAATTGTAAAAATTGCAGTGGTGCAATTGCAACAATTACAAAAAATTGCAACTGGATTAGTGCCTTAATTAATTAGGAGCACCAAGATACGAGGACAAGTTAAGGGAACTCAGTTTCACGACCCTTGAAAAGAGAAAAAAGAAAGAGGATATAATCACAATATACAAGATCCTGAGGGGTATAGTTCCCTCAGTATCGTATATGTAGCGATCATGGACAAGGAATGAGAGAAATTGCAATGGAAGAAAGAGAAGAAAGCTATTAAAACAAATGAGTCCTATACACAAAAGGACACACGCGAACCTTGTACAAGTAGTCAAGACGTTAAATACACTGAAAGAAGAGGTTGCTTGTAAGTGCTGGAAGCCATCTCCATCCCTCCTTCCATCTCTATCCACAGCTTGAGGGACAGAATCGACTAGGAACTAGATCATCAAGAAAGTTGAAAATAAAGTGCACAAGATAAAATTAAGCTAGCAGGCGGGACATGAAAAGCCAGATCTGGCTTTGCTGTTGTCACAGTTATGAGAGCTGTGATAGGTAAGCTGCAGCAGCTTCACCGTCCCTCGTTACCGTTCACCGTTCACTGTTAACAGTTCACTGTTACCTAATTATCTCTACTCAGCGCGAGCTCTAAATCCCTCTCAGTACCGTCTCAGTGTTATTTGATTCGTGAACTATCTTTGGAAAGTTTCAGTTTCATTTTGTGCATTATTAGGTGTTAAAACTGATGTTAAATACACTCAAGGGTCATTTTCTTTTTTGATCTGTCTCCCTCATAAACTGTACTGCAGTTCTGGCCTCCTCATTTCTCTCATTAAACGTTCCACTTACTTGTGACTCTTGCGCTGATGAGATTTTATCTAGTCTCTTCGCCTCATCTGTGGGTCCATCCTCTGATCCTACCTTTTCTCAATTTTATCATTGCCTTTTTTTCACTTTCAATTCCTTTTTATATCTTATACGTTGCTGTCATATCATCTCTGATTCGTCTTTCCTCCAACGCGATGACGTTAAATTCTCTCAACTTTTTCATGTAGGAAACTCTAAGACAAGTCTTTCTGAAATTTCAGAAAATTTTCTAGCTTTATTTTGTACTTTGTTAGTTTTATTTTGACTCCAAGTCAGGGCTGCCGACGCACACACTTTGTCCTACGTAGGATGTGTATAAGATTTTTAATGTCTAAATCCTCCAATATTTCCCAGCTATGAGAAGAGTTCAGACGTTATTTTGTTAACCCTCAGGAAGTAAGTAGAGGGAGAAAACGCAAATTATGTTTTATTATACAGAAATTGTAATTATTATTATTAACACCTTTATTGACAAAATTAATTACAATTTTGCCTAATCTGAGGATTTCGATTAAGTCTTATTAATTAAAGTGAGGATAATGCTGGTATTCACTGTCACGCAGGACAGAGGGTCATACATAAGACAATAGGTCTAAACTGTAAGCGGAAGTACATATATATCATGGTTACAATCAATGTTTTAATGTATGGATATGTGAAAACAACTTTCAATTATGCACTGCCACACAAGGGCAGGGGGATGGGTTCATAAGTGAAAAATTGTAAGGGATTTCAGGACACATTAGAGATAATATAATGTTTCGTTCGTCCAATTCAAGTTGGAGAGGAATTAGTCAATATTTATAAAAACAAAATGACATTAAGATCACAGGCGTGTATAAGATCTTTAAAGATCACAAGATGTAGCTTTGACTGATTAGTTGCGATTTAAATACTCGACTTTTTTTATTAAGAGGTTTGTGCGATATAGACAAAAAGACAATAACATTATGCATGCATATAAGTAAAGACCAATCATCACATTCTTGTAACAACTAAAAGAAATACAGGCATCCACTTTTACATATAATAATACAAATATTCGTTTTTCACCATGAAAGTGTGTACTGTATTTGGTGAGTGATTATATAACAAGAAGAGGACAACCTGACGCTATAATTTCCACACACTGGAGAAGAGGGTCCCTACTTGTCACACTATTATTCATCTGATTTTTGTCTCGTAATTTTTCCCCAATAAGGTAATAATATTCTATTGATTGACGCGCAATATCTCTTTAGTCTTATCTTGTCTTCACCTGGGAAGAAAATAACAAAATTAAGCTCAAACATTTTCTTGACACTATATAATTCGTCCTAATAAAAGGTTAATTTATCACAAAATCTGTTCTCAATAACCACAACAGAAATTCTTGTATTTCACGTGTTTTACAACTGCATTTCTATGAGTCAGAGTTACAATAATAATTACATAATAGATCCCAAGCAGTTGAATTCTTCTGAGTTCAGACTGAATTCGTCCCAGGAAATGTGACACATATGACTATCTTTCCTCATTAACATACACAACTATTCTTGTGATGCGAGAAGTGTTTCTCCTCACAGACTGACCCAATCTAACTGCCACATTAGAGACCTGGTGAGAGACCGGGCCGCAGGGACCTTGAAAACCGGGAGAAGGAGAACTATAATGGAAAGCGCCAAGCCATCACGACTATATATAGCACTTGGAAGGGACCGGGATAAGGATTTGGGGTGGGACGGGGGGGAAGGGGGAGAGGAATGATGCCCAACCACTAGGATGGTCGGGGATTGAACGCCGACTTGCATGAAGCGAGACAGTCGCTCTGCCGTCCATCCCCTTGACCCCTAGAATGAACCCTAAGTAACCGCCAGTAAGGTGCCATTAATACTGAGCCACTCTCTCTCACACACACACACACAGAGACCGCTACACCGAGTCCTCTGTCTGTTCTTTGTGACCGCAGACTGCTCCCCCCAGCTTACGTTCCCTGAGGCACAGTGTGTACGTCCTGGCGGCCACCTTGCCCTCTGTGGGCGTAGAGCAGCACACACACACACACACACACACACACACACACACACACACACACACACACACACACACACACACACACACACACACACACACACACACACACACACACACACACACACACACACACACACACACACACACCACACACACACACACACACTCACACACACACACAACACACACACACAACACACACACACACACACACACACACACAACACACACACACAACACACACACACACACACACACACACACCACACACTCACACACACACACACACACACACACACACACACACACACACACACCACACACACACACACACACACACAGTACCTCTCATGCTCAACCCCCGACTGTTGTACA